CTCCCAGAATTCCCCAGCCAGCATTCGCTGGCTGGGGAATTCTGGGAGTTGAAGTCCAGACATCTTCAAGTAGCCAAGGTTGAGAAACACTGCCCCAGGGTCTCTCGGCGCAATAAGCTTGATAGCAATGGTGTCTCCCCCACCCCCCAAAAGCACCCCCTTCCCGTGATTATTGTATTATTGCACCCCCTTCCCGTGATTGTAAGCCGCCCTGAGTCCCCTCAGGGAGAAGGGCGGCCTATAAATCGTAATAAATGTCTAAATGTCTAAAAGCAACTCAGCTAGGGGTCAGGCTGGCTTCTTGTGCTCAGCGTGGCTCCGGCTCCCCCTGCAGAGACAGAGAGCAGCCCCTCGGCTCTCCAGGGCTTCCTGCCGGAGGAGATGGCCAGGCTGAGCTGGAGGGCTAAGTTCAGCCCCCCCTCCTACCTGGCACCAATTCTCCTGTCCCGGGTGACGCGATTTCCCCTTCGGCAACCTCCTGACAAGCAAAGTCAACAGGGAAGCCAGATTCACTTAACAACCACGTCATTAAATGAACAGCTGCTGTGACCCACTTAACAAATGAGGCAAGAGAGTTCATAAAATTTGGCAAAACTCACTTAACAACCGTCCCGCTTAGCAACAGAAATCCGGGGCTCAATTGTGGTTGAGGATTCCCTGTAGTACTTTTGAACCCTGTCCTGGTTCCTGACTTCTCGTGTCTGAGGACTAGCCAGCTCTTTTCTCCTTTCCAAGTTAAGTAATGCCTTCCCCCCTTCCTTCCTTCCTTCCTTCCTTCCTTCCTTCCCTCCCTCCCTCCCTCCCTCCTTCCTTCCTTCCCTCCTTCCTTCCTTCCCTCCGTCCGTCCTTCTTTCCTTCCTTCCTTCCCTCCCTCCCTCCTTCCTTCCTTCTTTCCTTCCTTCCTTCTTTCCTTCCTTCCTTCCCTCCTTCCTTCCTTCCCTCCCTCCTTCCTTCTTTCCTTCCTTCCTTCCTTCCTTCCCTCCTTCCTTCCTTCCCTCCCTCCCTCCCTCCCTGCTTTCAGGTATCCAGCATAAAGAATGAAGAGGTTAAGGTCCGCCAGGACAGCATGACCAAGTTGCTGACCGACGTCCAACTGATGAAGGGCAAGCAAGAGAGCATGGACTCCAAGCTGATCGCAATGAAGCAGTAAGTACATGCCTGGGGAGGGGAGGGGGGGAGGGGGGTTGCTCTCCCTTCCTCTGTGTCGTAGCGCCCTCTCCTGGCAACTGCTGGCAGAGTCATCAGCGCCCCAAAAATTGGAAATACTCCTGAAAACTCTCCGCATACTGGTCTCCTTGTTTTGTTTGTTTTCTCCCCCTGCCCCCCTCTGACCCACCTTGTTGGTCTTTCCTTCCATGACACAAGATGGCATTTGAAGAGAAATCAGGGGCAGGAATCTGTATGTTCCTAAAACTCCCAGTCTTCTAACTTTTAAGTGGGCAAAATAGTCCCTCGGAGGGCAGTGGTTTTTTCAACCCAGGTACCTCAAATGGGCTAACTTGCAGAATATGTCCAAAATTTGGGTCCCAGGACTCCTGTGGGACTGAAATTAGGCCAAGTGTGTAAAACATAAGCATTTATGGCCTAATGCAGTGGTTCCCAAACTTGGCAACTTGAAGACTTGTGGACTTCAACTTCCAGAATTCTCCAGCCAGCTCTGCTGGCTGGAGAATTCTGGGAGTTGAAGTCCACAAGTCTTTAAGTTGCCAAGTTTGGGAACCACTGGCCTAATGTAATGTTTCCTATGCTGATGTTTGACTGCGCCGTGTAGTTCCGAGAGAGGCAGAGGCCCCTCTGAATGCATCCCTCGAGGGCTTCCCTTGAGTCCAGGGCAGGAGAGGCTCCGTCTGTCTGTCCTGGTGGGAACCGTGGAGGAATCTGGCCAGGAAATCCCTCCGAGAGGATGACCCAAACCTGCCGGGTTGCTTAGCACAGTCAGTCATGTTGGAGCACGAGCGGCAGTTTTCGGGGCTCCAAAACAACGGCAGCCTCCAAAGAGCCCATCAGGAGCCGTTCTGTCAAAAGGGGAGAGTTGAGAACCAGGATCAAGTTAAGCACAGGTAATCCTTGACTTATAACCACAGTTGAACCCAACCTTTATGTTGCTAAGTGAGACAGTCTTCTCTTGGGGCCTCCCAGGCTCAGTTTTTTTTTTTTGAGTGCTGATAGTCCTAGAGTTACGACCGGTCACTTACAACTGACCCGAAAAAGGGGACTTACGACCTGGAATTCGAAGCGGGCTCTTCTGTGTTGCCCCAAAAGAGACACGATGGATCATCACCTCTGCTGAGCCAGAGGGAGATTCTGACTCTGGGAGCTTTGCTGGAAAGATGGAACAGCCCAGAGGGAAGCCGAAGCAGAGGGGGCCCTTTCCCCCCAGCCCCCCGAAGCGACCTGTCTTGGGCCAAGAGGACCTGCTCTGCAGAGGAGCCTCTGAGAGGGTGGCTGTCCCTGCTCTTTCTCAGCTGAGGGGCTCCTGGGCTTTGGGAAGGAGACTGGCTTTCCGGCCTTGTGCTGCCACGGGAGGAGTCTCATTTGTGTGTTTGGGCGGGGGGAGGGGGGGTGTTTCTGCCTTGCAGGAACGCATGTCCCACCTTCATGCATCCCCACATGAATGGGGCTTACGATAAATCTAAGTACGGAGGGATGAGGTGCCTTGCAGCCTCTCCCTTCACCTCATGGCGACCCCCTGGGCCAAGAACGGCCTCCTGCCCAGCAGAGGAGGAGCAGCCCTTCCTCCCCATTGGACAGTCTGATCACAAGCCATGACGGCTGAGTGGAGGTTGCAGGGGAGGCCTCTGTGGCCAAGAGGTGATTCACAGCTAAAGCCCGAAATACCTTGACTCCTGGGTAGAGCAGGACTGGCTCTTTGGGACCTACATCTGGGGTCTCCGCCTCCTGGGAGCGTAGGTGGGGGTTTGGGTGGTGGCCCCACCCTGAGGAGCATCCTCCCTCGGTCAGCTGGGAGAGATTCCCACCAGAAAGGGGTCAAGGCAGGGCTCTTCCCAAAGGAGGAGACGTCGTCTGCAGCCCTCTGACATTAACAGGGCTCGTCTGTTGGTGTTGGTTGAGGCTGATGAGCCAAGAATTGGGGCTTTGGGTTGCCTGTCTGTCATATGTGTATGTGTGTGTATGTGTGTGTTTAAAGTTATTTGCTCTCCATCTCTTCTCCAAAGCCCGTGAGCAGTTCTGGGGACAGAGAGCTGTGAAAACAAACCAATAGAACCGCACACAGCTTGTGCCCAGCAGTGGCCTCTTGGGGGTCAGCTGCTGCTTGTCCAGTGCTCCTGAGCAGCCTAGGACTCTCTCGCTCTCCCACCCACCCTCCCTCCCTCTCTCTTTCTGTGTGTGGGTGTGGTAGTGCAGGCGGTCTATCTCCAGGTGGAGTCTTAGTT